GAGAGAGAGAGAGAGAGAGAGAGAGAGAGAGAGAGAGAGAGAGAGAGAGAGAGAGAGAGAGAGAGAGAGAGAGAGAGAGAGAGAGATCCCTGTTGACCTGCGAACCTGTCAGATACATGCCTCTTGGCATTTTGTGCACGGGATAGGAGGAGCACGATGCTTGATTTTGTACGTCAAGTGTGAAACTTCTCGACGAGTATTCAGACTGCTTTTAGCCCATTTCATGGGGTTCCTAGGATCCCTCCCTTGAGCTGGATAATGCTCGGAAGATAGACTGCGGGCATTCATTGTTAAAGATCGGAAGTCTTCCAGCAGCTACAGGGGAGAACAAGGTTTTCTTACTGACTAGCCTGGCATGATTGGGCATTCCCATCCTCCAGTAGTGTCCTGTGCTACGCTAGAGTGGAGAGCTCCAACAGATTGGAAAGCAAAAAAAAAAAAAAAAAAAAACATTCCGTGAACAAGTGGGGGAAAAAAAGACAAAACAAGGAAACAACGGCACGACGCAGTCAGGTCCACGAACCAGCAAAAAAGAAAACAATTGAAACTACCCTAATGAAAGGATAGCGGGTAGATACATCATCAGGAGCAGTGTGTGTGTGTGTTAGCATGCGCACATCACATGCACTTCGCACACGCACGACACGTCATGCCCGTGCTACTCCGACTAACAACGTCGGCACACCGTGAGCAAAAAGCAAGACGCGGGAGGCGATATCCAAACGCGGCGAGGTAAAACCACTTGGTATGTCCATTTTGTGGTGAGGGTAACCACGGGGCCGTTTATCGGGTGATGTCGGCCAAACCAGCGCAAGTGGCGATTCGAAGTGAAGGGGGGTAGGGGTGCTTCGCCTTTCGAGGGGGCAAAACAATCATCCTAGAAAAGGAAAGCGAAAACATGAAAGACGAAAAAACGAAAGAACGAAAGGAAGACAATTCGAAAAACCAAAAAAGCAAGACGCGTATTGAAGACAGTCCACCGCATGCCATAGCTCAGATACAATCATACATTCTGTCGGGACATTTCCCCGAGGAGGAACAAACGGCAAGGCAGCACATAGGGTGAAACGCATGGGGGAGGCACATGAACTTAGAGGCATGAGAGAAAGAACAAGCACTGAGGCAACACATAGGCTGAAACGCATGGAGGAGGCGGGAGGGCGTAAGTACAAGTATCGAAGAACAGCAAAGCGGCTAGAAGAATAGAAAACAGCAAAGGACAGGCTGGAGGGTAGAGGGGAGGAGGGTGGGCAAACAAACAGCACAAGGCAAGAAACGAAGACCGAAAAAAATAAAATAAAGACTGATGATGATAGATTGTTTCGTCGGAGTTGCACCGACTCATCAGGAGGCTGAACCCTCGACAATCTGCTGAATCCCCGTATTTGATGGTTTGGGTCATGAACCCTTTGACCCATGTTGAAGGCAGACTGTCCCCACGCGGGACATAGCAGCGGGCAGCAACCCTGTGGAGCACCAGGCAACACAATAGAGGCAGCCCAACTGCTTATCACCAAAGACAACTGCAAGGAACGACAGGGCAAGCGGACGAGCGGTTGGGCATCCATGCGGTGAAGAACAAGGCAACACCAGCAAGGCGACCAGACTACAAGGCACGCAAGCAAGTAAAGGACGCGAAAGTCCAACAGGGCAAGCAGACGAGCAGTTCGACAACCGTGCAGTGAAGCACAAGGCACCACCAACAAGGCAGCCAAACTACAAGGCATGCACATAAAGGCCACTGAAGGCCGTCAGGGCACGCGGACAAGCAGCTCAGCAATCGTGCAGCGAGGCGTGAGGCACCGCCACAAGGCTACCAAACCACAAGGCACACGAGCAAAAGACACGGGAGGCACGACCCGCGGGTAGGCGGCAAGGCAGCAGAGCAATGAGGGCGACCTGCAAAGCAAGCAGCACGGGCAGCAAGACCACGGAAGAGAGAGACGAGGCAGTCTACACATCCAACACGAAGCAAAGCAACACATAACCTACTCACATCACGATAGAACCCCGCAGACTATTGGTTCCCACCACCCACTGAGCCAGGGGGACACTCCGACGACCATCTGTCATCACCGACAGGCAACACAGACATCCCCAACCGAGCGGCCCCCCTAAGAGTGCAGTTGGCACTCCAAACGAGGAACCATCGACTGTTTGGCACTGCTAGAGGGTGCTCGGTTAGAGACACAAAAAACACTTAGACAAAGATAGGAGAAAGAGGAAAAACAAGCATACCTAACACTGATTGTGTGTGTGTGTGTGTGTGTGTGTGTGTGTGTGTGTGTGTGTGTGTGTGTGTGTGTGTGTGTGTGT